TACTACTACTATATATATATATATATATATATATATAGAGAGAGAGAGAGAGAGAGAGAGTACTTGGTCAGAAAGTAATAACATCTTTGAGGGAGATAGAGACATGGGTTCTTTAATATAGAGACGGGAGTTCTTTTGGATAAAATTTAAAGTATGTTAGGTATTAGAAACGTGTGAAGTAGGTTCATATATAAATATCGCAATCATTCTTAGCCATCAACAGTAAAATCGTGTAGGTTAAGATATATAACTCTGAAAAAAAAAAAAAAATGGGAAGTCTTCTCGGATTTTGAGCACGGTCAATGATATGCCCCTCTAGCTGTTCAATTTCTCCACGATGGCTAGGGGGTGATTGTGACTCGAATTTTTAGTACTAGAAATATGCAAAAAAAATGTATCAAAATACACTTTAACTTATTAGCCATTTAACATTTTACCCTTTTGCAAGGGATAGCAATGGGGGCCCCGATCAAGAGTTGGCTTGGGCCAAGGCCCTATTCTTGAACCCCCTCCGACCCAGATAGGGCCAAAGAGGCCTTAGCCTAGGCCCGGTTAGGCCAGACTGTTGCCCAGAACCTGGTGGCTTGGCCCTTGGGCCACATTGCCCACCCTATTTGCAACTATGTGTATTTCGATGGGTATTTTGAATTTTTTTTTCTTGAGGTTGGGATGTTATATCGAGGATGTTCAACCCATGATGGGTATTTTGAAATTAAATCAAAAGAAATGGGTATAGTGTTAAATGGTTCATCTTTTAGATATATTTTGATAAATTTCCTAATAAACAATCTCGTTGTATTAAAACTTGTGTTTAATCTACTGCCATTGTGGTTTATGAATGCAGGGTGTATGTTCCACAGTGGGTCAGGAGTACAGAGCTTCGAGCACCCAATGCATAAGGTAACGGCCATCCCACGTGTGGACAGCGAGGGCGTCATGTGCGGTGCAAATTTCAAGGTCGATGCGTACACACGTGTGAACACGATGCCACGCGTGGGCAGTGCAGCTAATTGGTCAGCATGGGCAGCTCAATCTCAATAGTATGGTCCTCGTAACAAATAATGCCTCCTCTCTATCTCTATCTCTATGTCTATCACTCTGCAATTTGATGTACAAATTTTTCTATTTTCTCTACGCTTTTGTGTCATCTTTTCTTTAAGTGTGTTTCATTCAACTAGTGTGAGGCTTGACTCGACCTATTAATGTACTGCAGCGAGGTTGAATTTCAATTTTATAAAAGGACTTTGTTCACTTTCTTTTCTTAATCATTTCTTCTTTGTTTGAACCATGAAAATGTTTGGGTAACATAAATGTACTTCTGATATCGAGAATCTTTAAATCCAAATCGGTGAGATTCTAATCTAGATTGGTCAGTCCTCTCAGAGCAAAAATTATGTAAACTAATTTTTCTGTGAATAGTTCGGTTTTTTATTTTGGGTTGATGACGGCCCAACAAAACGGGAAAGGTTTCTATATTTCTCTTATTGTATGGAAGATATGTACTTTCTCCTATCTAGCTATTCAATTTTGATCAAGTGAGCTGCGTTTTGTTTGATCTAGATTCGACGTTTCAAAGTATTTGTTCTAAATTTTTTTTACAAATGATATGAGTATGAAATTTGGAACGTTTATCATCTCAATGGGGTGTGTCTAAAAGATATTTTTGGTAAAGTTAAATGATCAAAATACCCATTAGGGGTATTTTGGTCATTTTATTTTATCAATAATGTTGTACTAAGTTTATAAGAGTAGACACTCAAAAAAAAAAAAAAAAATAGAATAATTGAGAGGCGTAGTATTGTGTTTGGGGCTATTTCAACTGTCCATTTATAATAAATGGTTGGATAGGAGGAAGTATATAAGTTTTATATATTAGGGGAAGTACAAAAAAAGTCGTTCGACAAAGTTGTTTGGTTTTTTGGTATAATTAAGCAATTAGATAAATTAATTGGGATTGTGGAACATTTATTTTTAGTACAAGGAGGTCACAATCAATCTTAACAGTTAAATGTGAAACTCAATGATTTGAAATCTATCACAAAATTTAAAGAATTTTATTTTGTACTTTATGGCTATATAATGTTATGTACTTCCGAACACCCAATTTCACAATCAACAAGATTTGTGACCCCTTTGTAGTAAAAGTAAATGATCTTATTGTATATTTTTTCAAATTAATTTATGTGTAATAATTCGGTTTTCTAATTTGAATTTATGACTTCCCAAGAAAATGGCATAATTCTTTGATAGAAGTGGGCAACTCCAACTTTGATAAATATCGTATCGATAATTTAATTAACAATTCCCATTCTGAATAAGCGATTTTTCAAACACCATATAGAACTATCATAACCCCTAATAACAAAAATAACAAACACGTACCCAAGGGTTCACAGATTTTTATAAAAAGGATTAAATTTTTTTTCCTTTCTATTTGGAGAAATACTAGATTTTAGTATCTTATATTTAAAATTTGATACTTTTTAAGTAAAAATATGAAGAACCTCCAATTAGGCGTGCAATTTAAATCAAACTTTTTGTATGTCAGAAAATCTGCCTAAGTCGAACTTAGGATCGGTTGGGCTTATTATGCAATTTGCTCCTGCGAGAACATGGTTTGTGCATCCAAGTATAAAACATGGAGAAGGCAGGGTGGGGCAAAAGGACTACGTGTGATTACTTTTTTTAGTTGCATTTCATGAAAGCTCAAGCATTGGGACCAATTGAGGAGTGCTAATCATTACTTTCTCACCCTCGGGCTCGCGGTGTAGCACCCTCACACCCTAGTCATCGTGTTGTAGTTCTGTTCTTTTCGACACCATCCACTAACACCGTTTTTGTTCCTTCCGACACCATCCATCCATTAGCACTGTTTTTGTTCCTTCTGACACCATCCACTGACACCGTTTTTGTTCCTTCAAACACCATCCACTAACACCTTAAAAAAAGCTTACTTCTAAACTATTTGAAAAAACAGATTGGGGTATGTCTTTCCCATTGAATTAAAAAAAAAAAAGGCTCAAATATAGGGATAAATATTAGCTCGTTAAACGAACCACCTAAAATACCCGGTTGAGTTTTAATAATACAGTTTAGGGGATTATCTAGATCCAAAAATTTCAATTTCATATTCGGTCGCCTCAAAGGTTAATCCCATGATCACATAGACTCAACATATCAAAAAAAGGTTCATGCCATTTCCTCTAGGGGAAGAATTTCTTTTTAGGCACACCTCCAAATTTTATCAAAGATGTTTGGTGTAAAAATTTTTTAGGATTGCCTGAAAATCTATTTCTATCTTTAATTATAAAATTTTAAACTCAAAAAAATAGTTCAAATCAAGTAGAACTATAAACATATGAAAATCTTAAAAATTGACGGTTTAGATAATGTGTTGCAAGTGCACTATTTACGGGGACACGAAATCTTTTTTCTTTTCATATTTATACATCTCGATGTGGAGATGATCAATTCAAGGATTTTTCAACAATCTTTTCCGAAAGAGTTTTGAGGTGCACCTTAATTCATAAGCTTTTTTCTTTCTCAAATCACTCCTGAGAGATTAACTATTCAACATTAAGAATGAGCTAAACTATTCAACATTAAGAATGAGCTCTAGGCAGAGGTGATTATGGTGGTGGATCTATCAGTCATACAAAGTCCTAATCTCTTTGTTTTTAAGTTAATTTTTAAGAGAGAGAGATAGAGTGAGTGAGTGGGAGAGATCAATCGTTTCGCACTCCACCCATTCAACAATTTACATCCCATGATTCTGTCCTTTTAAAAAAACATTATAACCCATGATGTTATGTCATTTTACGTGCTATTTGAAATTTGATCAAAAGAATGATGGATTATTTAGAACTAAATCAAAATAACAGAATCAGAAATTAATTAGTTCAGCTCTTGGGTGCGATTCAATAGATTTCATTCCCTTTTTTGTTGAAATTATTCATGAGGAAAATCAAAGATGATGTAAATGTTCCCCTTGTTCTTTTGAGGGTTATACCACCTAATGGTGGTTGGACTGATCCCTCTCCCCCTATATAAAATTGCACAGTAACCTGTGTTTTACTTTCATCACAGATAACTCAAGTGTGTCAAAGAAAAAGTTCAGTATAGACTCCCATGTTTTTGCATTCTACTAGGTCTGTGTTAGGTAAAATGTGGGTTAGCCTGTTCAGTTTTTTTGGAACAAACCTTAGACTGATGTTGGGACCCTTGACCTCCCTCAACCAAACAGTAGGGCTGAGAATTTACCTGGTTTGGATTCGAAACTCAAATTTTAGATCTTATTCGGATTTGGGTATAGATCCATGATTTGGATCCGACGAGCTGGATCGGGATCCAAAAAGTAATTTTGATCGGATATGGATACAGGTGATTCGATCTAGATCCGACCTAGTTATTAATATATTATATACATATATGTTTATATAGTATTTTTTTGTAGTATATTATTTTAGGGTGTGGTTTCTATAAGGTTGCAACCTTAAACAATCAAAATAAGGTGCACCTTCTAATTTTATCATAACATGTAATTTTGGTGTAAAAAATTCTTAGGATCATCTCGAAATCTATTTTCATATCTAATTATAAAATTTTAAGCTCCAAAAATGGTTAAAATCAAGTAAATCCATGAAAATCTTGAAAATTGACGGTCTAGATAATGTGTTGCAAGATGCACTATTTTTCGGACTCAAAATCTTTTTTTTTTTTTCATATTTTTAGATTTTGTTGTCGAGATGATCAGTTAGTGGGTTTTTTAACATTAAAACAACTTTTTCCGATGGATTTTTTAGGTACATCCGTATTTCTACATTTTAAGGTTGCAACCTTATATAAACTTTTTCCATTATTTTATAGATGCAAAATAATATATAAAATATTTTTTTGGATCTAATCTGGTCCGGATCTCAATCTGAATCCCATGTATACTTTTTGGATTCGAATCTAGATCTTGGTGGATCTGGACCAAATCCGACCTATTCTCAACACTACCAAACAGGGAACCTACCAATTCCTCAAATGTTCTTCAATAGGGCACCCTGCTTATTTGAGTCATTGCTGGTAAGTGACATTTCTCGAGCTAAGCGGCTCACGCCTATAATGGACCCAGTGAAACCATAATCGTACAAGAAAATACAAGAAATAAAGCCTATGGGATATTACTATTATAAAAAAGACTACCTCAGCAAAAATGGGGAAGCAACTTGACTAAGAGTGGACATATTTTCGTTTACACAAGTGTCCTGGAGGGAGGGCCTGGTTTAGGTGGGTTTGGTCCCAATTACTATTTCAAAACCCAGATTGGTGACGTAGACCGTTCACCCCACAAACCCATGTTGGATTGCTCGATTGATTATCTGGATCAGTGTGGACCGGTCCGAATCAATGATCTAGAAGAAATTTAAAGATAAATAAAATAAAAATAAATTACAATGGGGATTTATGGGGGCGAGGATTTGTGTGTGTGTGTATGTGTGTGTGTGTGGGGGGGTTGTAAACCTAATACAACCCTCCTGCTCTATCCAGGCTCGAGACTGACATGACTAACTTGGATGGGCTATGGTGGAGTTTTAAAAATCTAAGTGTAAAAAACAATGTCAAAACAATAAAAGCTAGGGTTTTAGAGGGGAACAAGGCTAGGACTTATACCATCCTAGAATCGGTTCGGTCACAATCGATTTTCCATCGAAATCCTCAAGGAATTACCGGGTTTTAAATTACTGGCCCTAACTTATATCAGACAAGCCCTAGCTCGGATCACCCAGATATAAAAGAACGGGCCGCACCAGGTTGCTACCTGCGTGAGCCGGAGCGGGCCTATCCTAAGCCCGGCCCATTGCCAAACCTAGGTGTACAAGCTACAAATGTGAACAAAGGTGGGGAGAGACACTCCACCCTCTCTAGATTCCTCCCAAAGTCTTCCGATCAAACCGTTTCCTCCCCAAGTTGGATAGCGATGTAAAGAAAGACCTCTCTCTTGTCTTCTTATGGAAGAGAAGAACAAATACATGTAAGAGAGAGAAGAACCATAATTTGGTCCTCAGACAGAGAGATCATATTGTTGAGGTGGTGCAGCAGAGAATCAGAATTGGTGGTACAATTTTTGTACTTATCGTATGTGAAAACGCGTGACTTGTGGCTCTGTAGGATCCAGCTTTAGAGAGAGAAGACGACAGAGAGCACTGTCTATGTACTTTTTGTAATGAGAAACCTACAAATCAATTAATTTAGAGAGAGAGAGAGAGAGAGGAACTTT